AAGCCCTCTTTACAAAAATACATCAATGAAACCGGATCTACAAACTGATTTCTTATCTTTTATTCATACGAAACTATCCTCAAAATGTGGTCGGCATTAAGTAACCCATTGAGGTTGATATATCATAAAACAAAATAAAGCAAAGCAAACAAGTATCTCTACAAAAAACCTCTTTACTAAAACACATCAATGATACCTAATATAGACACTGATTTTTACAAATATTTTAATAAAACTATAAAAATTTTTTATTCATTAAGGTTGAAACTGTAAATCCTAAAAAATCTTGTAAACATTAAATAAGAACTATTAAAAATGGTTGATTAAATAACCCATTAAGGTTGATATAAAAACAAAATAAACCAAACCAATCTAAACTAAAGAATACATATTCTATTCATAACGAATCTATCCTAAAATGTTGTCGGCATTAAATAACCCATTAAGGTTGATATGCCGTAAAACAAAATAAACCAGACCAATCTAAACCAAAGAATGCATATTCTATTCATACGAATCTATCCTAAAAATGTTGCCGGCATTAAATAACCCATTGAGGTTGATATGCCGTAAAAAACAAAATAAACCAAACCATTCTAAACCAAAGAATACATATTCTATTCATATGAATCTATCCTAAAAATGTTGTCGGCATTAAATAACCCATTGAGGTTGATATGTCAAAAACAAAATAAACCAAACCAATCTAAACCAAAGAATGCATATTCTATTCATACGAATCTATCCTAAAAATGTTGTCGGAATTAAATAATCCATTAAGGTTGATATGCCGTAAAACAAAATAAACCACACCAATCTAAAGCAAAGAATGCATATTCTATTCATACGAATCTATCCTAAAAATGTTGTCGGCATTAAATAACCCATTGAGGTTGATATGCCGTAAAACAAAATAAACCAAACCAATCTAAACCAAAGAATGCATATTCTATTCATACGAATCTATCCTAAAAATGTTGTCGGCATTAAATAACCCATTGAGGTTGATATACCGTAAAACAAAATAAACCAAACCAATTCTTTACCCTTGTTTAAATAATTTTAACTAATGAAACGCCCCGACCCATAATATTTTCAGGCTAAATTAAGGATTGGGAAGAATTTAATGAATATTTTATATAATAAGTGTTTGAAATAAAGATGTCGACGATGTTGTCATTGTCTTAGGTGCTCTATTCTACGCCCTTCCTATTTAGTGTCATTCTTTTTAATATATGCATTATTGACCTTATGTATTAAATATATTATCTATTTAATCAGGAGGCACGGTGGAGTTATGGAAAGCGGCTTGGATTGAGTCGAGTTCGAATTCTACTGCATTCACTTACATGCTAATACCTTCTTCTCTCTCAAGCTCTGGGTAAATAGCAGGACAGACCGGGTTCTATAGTCTTGGATAGCAACTGGTCTACTGCAGAAAGTAATGGGAACCTACTGCGGGAAAAAATCTACCTTGTTCGTGATGTATCGAAAGATACAAGATCGCCTAAGCATGTATTACGCATAGCACATAACTAATATTATCTATTATGAATTATATTATAAATTATATCAAAATTATATGATTATATATTATATATTATTGTAATATAGCATCTAATATAATAATTATAATTATATAATTATAGTTATTAATCATGTTATAAACTATTATCTATTTAAAAATATATATATATATATATATATATATATATATATATATATATATATATATATACGGTGACACGCATAAGTATTGGATACATGTTATTTTCTGTCATAACTCTAGTTTATGTTCACCATTTTACCTGATATTTAGTAAGTAATATCTCGTAAAGTTGATTTAGTTGTATGTGGAAGGAAAATTAAAAACTCATGGTTGAATCCATTTTTTTTATCAAAGTTCAAAATTACCCTCTGCAAAAAAGTATTGGATACATCAATTTAATATTTTGTTGCGTAGCCTCTGTTTTGTTTCACTGCTTCCAGTCACTTTCTATAGTTGGCCACAAGTTTTTCCACACTGATCCACCGTTACTTTACCCCATTCTTCCTTGCATAATTCCTCTAATTGCTTGATATTTTATGGATTCCACTTATGAACTTTAACCTTCAAAGTATTCACAAATTTCAATTGGATTCAAGTCAGAAGACTGACTTGGCCAATTGAGAGTACTAATACCATTATTTTCAAACCATTCCTTTGTAAGTTTTGCGGTATGTTTGGGATCATGGTCGTGTTGAAGCACGAAATTCCAACCATGTCCTAAAGAAGTTGCAGATTTCTGAAGGTTCTTCTCTAGAATCTCCCTGTACATGCTACCATTTATTCTACTATGGATAACTTGTAACTCTTCGGTACCCTTGGATGAAAATCATCCCCATATCATAATGGAAGCACCCCCAAACTTAACTGTGGGAATGGTATTGTGCTTCTTGAAGGCAGTGCCATTTTTTTACCAAACACTTGTCGCTGTGTTCCTTCCGAATAGTTCCACTTTCGTTTCATCCGACCAGATTACCTTTTCCCAAAGCTGCATACCTTTCTTTTCATAAGTTTCGACAAACTTTAATCGGTCTTTGACATGTTTGGTTTTCAGTAAAGGCACTTTTCTTGGTGATCTTGAATGAAAGCCTGTATGATATAGAGCTCTGCTAATGGTATCCCATACTTACATTAATTCCAGCACCTCAAGATCAGTTTTAATTTCAAAACGAGTAATGAAGGTTTTTTTTTTGCACATTTCTACTGATCCACCTTGAAGTACTCTCATTTATTTTTCTCGGTCTTCCATTTCTTTGAAGGTTTGCTGTACCGTCGCCATACTTTCTTATACTTTCTGATGATATTTCCTACTGTACTTAGTGCTAGATTTTTCGGTAACCTTGTCCTCCTTTGTGACGTTCAATGATTCTATCTCGCGTATCTCTGAAGAATTCTTTAGTTTTTGCCATTTTTAATCCTTGAATTGCAGAATGCACATCAAAGAGTCAGATGATTAGTAGCACTATCTTGTAAGCAATCGTGTGATTCTCTGATTGGTCAGAGATAACATTCCAATACTATCAAAAATTTGAATATTTAAAGTCTTTTAAAATACAAAGTTTCAATTGGAAATTTGAAAAAGTGTCATGTATCCAATACTTTTACATAGGGTAATTGTAAACTTTGACAAAAAAAAAATGGATTCAACCATGAGTTTTAATTTTCCTTCCACATACAACTAAAACAACTTTACGAGATATTACTTACCAAATATCAGGCAAAATGGTGAACATAAACTAGAGTTATAACAGAAAATAATATGTATCCATTACTTATGTGTGTCACTATATATATATATATATATATATATATATATATATATATAAAAATATAATTAGTCATTATCTAATAAATATTATATCGATATTGAATAGTTACCAGAAATCAGAACAACTATTTTATTAAATGGTATAATTTTGGTGACAATTTGAAGAAAAAACACATTTAAAAAATCGGAAAATGAATTAACGATTTTTGAATACATCGAGTAGAAGAGGAAATTATACAAGAATAAACTTTCTATACAGGAATAATGCTAGGTAGATGAAAACCAAAAAACATAAAACCTGAAAACTTGAGTGTATGTTATATATATATATATATATATATATATATATATATATATATATGGTGTAATCTCATTTATCTGGGATTAGTCAAAATATAAGGGATACGTTGAAACACCTGTTCTTTTTTGTTATTCAAATTAGTATTATCGATTTTGTTTGGGTTATTTCTAGACAGGTGATATTTTTGAATACCAGGAATTGTAGGTTAAATCTTGGATTTTGACTTTTTAACATTTTTTTATAATCATACGAGCAAATGCTTGAGAAATTATGAATCCACCCTTCCTCCTGAAAAAGTTATGGGTTATTTTATTTTTGATAAGATTAAATAGTTATCATCTCAAAAAATTATTAGGATCTAAAATATTTTCTGGCTTGAGATAACCTCCAAAAGGTTGATAGTAAAAATCAAATCAGTCACAAAAAAAAAAGAAAGAAAGAAAAACTTTTGTAAATATCCATTTTGTGTTCATATATAACGTTTTCTAAGTTCAACGGTTAAATTGAGTGAGGGGATCCATTGGATCTTGCCAAAGATCATCCATCTTTGAAGACTGTGGATTACAGACTGACAAACAAAGAACTATATCGAATATAATCCAAACAGTTTTGAAGTGTAATTATTTTGATGCAACAATCAAAAGGATAACATGGATGTTATGGAGAGAATAGTAGTTTATAATCAAAGATATTAAAGTTATCTTTTTATGGTCCAAATAAAAGGTTAGGCCTTTCCTTAACATTATGAATGAAATAAAAATTGTTTTAAGAGAAAGATTTCAATTGGCTGCTCGGTCAATGAATACCAAGTGTTTCCTTATAAGGATACGCCTAATATAACAATTACTATTACTATACCCATTGTCAGTAATGTCAGATGGTGACAGTTTTTGAAAAACAATAAAAAAAAACGTCATTACATTTTTGATATTAGAATTACTATTACCATAATAGGACGTTAGATTAAAAAAAAAAAATCAGCAATGGATAAATAAAAATAAAACCGAAAAATTAACTCTTTAAAAAATGTACCTATAAATATGACGAAAAGGTATAATTAGCGATCAGTAATATTTTTAAGAGGAAGATTGTCATTTGGGCGGAAAATCGACCTTATTTTGAAATTTTTCCAAAGAGGCGACGCCATGTTTGAAATATTTTTTTAACTTTTTTATTTCTATATTCGTCGTATATATCCATTCGTGTCTTGTTGTCTGGTATTAAATTTTTACACTTTTTATGCAGAAGTTAGGGGAATCTATCTGGAGACGACTCTGTTTCTGTGTAAAGAAAGAGAAAAGAAAGAGAGAGGAAAATGAGAATTAGACAAAGAAATTTAAAAAGAGATATTTTACAAAAGAAAGATATGAATGAAAAAGAAAAGTTCAAACGAAAAAAATGGGGTTTGGGAGAAATGGAAAGAGTGTGAGAGGGATAGAAAGAGAGAGCAAAAGGAAGGGGGAGAGAGGATGAAATAAACTAGCAAGGAAAAAGGGATTGGGAGAAGAAGATTGGGAGATAGTGAGAACGATAGAATCAGGGGACAGCAAACAAGAAGGAGGAGGGTTGAGGATGAAATGCAAGGAAAAGGTATTATGTGGGTTTAAAAACTTGAGAGGGATTAAAACCAGCAAAGGAAGGGAGAGAGGATTTTCTTTTCTTTAGGAAGGAAAAAGGGAGAAGGAGATTGGGAGAAATGGACAAAATAGTGAGAAGGATAGAAAGAGTGAGTTCATGTATGGGTAAATACTAGTCGTTAATATTCGAGTCTCAAAATTTTACTGGGGGTTCATCGGTTAAAGTAAACATTAAAACTTATATTTGATCAAAAGCCTCTTGTCAGGGTCTCTTTACGACATTACATGCCAGTTGGTTGGTTATTGTAGGCACCAATGACAAGAGACATTTGAGAAAAATATTTTCATAATATCTAATAATGTACCTAAATAAAAAATATAATTTTGAATATACTATGAAAACTGAATACATTGTGGAATATCTAGATTATAGGCATATTTACTTGTGTTGATCAGCTTTAAAAAATTCAAATAAAAAATTAAAAATTAATGACGGGTATGGAAATTTGAGGGAGAATAAAGATTGTCCTCTTGACAGCGATGTTGGTAACAACGAGAACTCAAAAGAGAATATGCTGTGGGTATTCAGGAAAATTGCTGTCAATTAGACTTCAATATAGGCCTTCAGTTACGACTGGTATGGACACTCAATGAATCATTAAAACAACAACAGCAACAACAACAACTACTACTACTACTACTAATAATAATAATAATATGTGCTCTGATGTTACGCCAGTCTGGGTTTTCATGGCTTCTGATATTAATTGGAGAGGGTACAGGAATAAGTCAAAAATTATCTGCTATTTCTCCATAACGTATCTTTAGGTTTGTTACAATGACTTGTACGCATGCGTATTTGTAGTTAGTACTATTTTCATCACGCGGGCGATGTTTGAGTTTGATGTTGCCATTTGTTTTACTGTTTTACAGTTTAAACATGGCGGCTTTTGTTCTTGTACCAAGAGTTTAGCAAATGCAAAAAAAAATAATTGTAAAAAATAAATAAATGAAGAATTTAAGTTGTCGTCTGCTCTGGATCTCCCGCCTGCGAACATAGATTAGATATCATTCCTTCTTTTGCAAATTCTACTTTTTCTTCTTCAAATTCTTTTTTTTTTCAGAAGTTTTACAGTTATTTTCCGAATTCGTCAAATTCTTCTTCTTTTTCATCGTGTTGTTGTTCTTCTTCTACTTCTTCTTTTTCTTCTTCTTCAAAATATTTTCTTCTTCAAATTCTACTTCTCAGAAGCAGATCACGTGACCACAATAGTCCCAACTATAAGCGCGCATGAGCAGAACGCAGTGTGACAAACCTAAAGATATACTATGGCGAAAGTGCGGATAATCTTGAATTTAACCTCGTTACATGTAGTTATTCTGCTTTGATCGCCTGCAATAAATATCCCGTTCTGAAACTACAGATTCGCCTGCCTGTTGCCTGGTCATAACCAGGTTTGTTTACCCCCACACCCATGTGTTGAACGCTGTCATGGTAACCCCAAGTATAGGGGAAAGGTACAGCTTCATGGATGAAGAAAGAAAGACATGATAAAAATTTTTGAATAATAATGATAATAATAATTATAATTTTACAGAGATGTAAGATAAAAAAAGCGGAAAGTGCTACAGGCGACGACGACGACGACGACGAAGAAGAAGAAGAAGAAGAAGAAGAAGAAGAAGAAGAAGAAGAAGAAGAAGAAGAAGAAGAAGAAAGGGGAAGAGAAGAGTGTAGATGAAATAGAGAAAAGGAAAAAGGAAGGAGTGAAAGAAGAAGAAGAAGAAGAAGAAGAAGAAGAAGAAGAAGAAGAAGTAGTTGAAGTTGTTGTTGCTGAAAACATTGAAGAATGTTATAAATATGAAAATAAACAAGTGAAGGAAAGTATTTGATGAAGGTGAAAAAATTTTGAGAAGAATTCGAAGGAGAAGAACGTGAAGAAGAATAGGAAAAAAAATCAGAATAAAAATTTGAAGAAGAATTATTTTAAAAAATGAACTTAAAAAATTTTGAAATGAATTTTGAAAAGAAAAAAATGTTTTGACGAATTCGGAGAAGTATTGTAAAAAATTCTGTGACGAAGAAGATTTTGAAGACAAAGAAGAAATCGAAGAATTGTATGAATTCTGACAATAAGATTTTAAAGAATATCTTGAAGAATTCGAAGAATTAGAAGTAGAATTTGAAGAAGTATTTAAAGATGAAGAATTGCAAGAATCCAGGGAAGAAAAAGAATTTGGAGAAGAAAATCTTGAAGAATTTGAAGAATAATTTGAAGAAGAAAACGAAGAATTGTAAGTATCCTGAGAAGAAGAATTTTGGACAAAATTTTGAAGAATTTGAAAAAGAATAATTTGAAGAAGTAAACGAAGAATTGTAGGAATTCTGATTCATGAGAAGATTTTGAAGAAGAATAATTTGAAGAGGAATAATTTGAAGAAGAATAATTTGAAGACGAAGAAGTCTAAAAAAGGAGACGAAGAATTGTAAACATTCTGAGTAGAAGAAATTGAAGGAAAATTTGAAGAATTTTAAGAAGAAGAATTTGAAGAAGAAGAAGAAGACGAAGACGAAGAAATGTAAGAGCTCTAAGAATTTGAAGAAGATGATTTTGAAAGAATTGAAGAATTTGAAGAAAATAAATTTGAAAAACCAAAAACGAGTAAAAGAAAAAGAATTTGACGAATTCGTAGAATAATTGTAAAACTTCCGAAAAGAATAATTTGAAGAAGTAGAAGTCTTTGGAAAAGAAGAAATGATATCTATTGTATGTTTGCAGGCAGAAGACCAAGAGCAGACGACAACGGCATTGATTATTCTTGAATGTTTTTGTTGTTACTATTGGGTAGAGGCGACAAGGAAGTTGGGGCAAATGCTACAAAGAATGAGAGTAAAGTAGAAATAATTAATGAAGGACCCGAAGCAAACAATGAAGTACGATAAGAAAAAAAAAATGATTGCTTTAAATGGTGTGCCATGAGAAACGTACTTTAGCTGAGGACATTAAATAATGAAGAAGAGAGGACGGTGTTTTGAGGAGAGGGGATGAAAACAGACAAGAGAAAGATTAAGGAAAGACAGAAAGTAAAAAAAAAAAAAAAAGACGAGAAAGGGGAGAAAAATAGACGAAAGACACCCGGCAAAAGAGAAAGGAAGACGATAGAAACATGGGAAAAGAAAAGAAAGATTTGTAAAAGAGAGAGACGGTAAAACAAAGAAAAGGAGAGACTTAGAAAGAAACTCTAAAAATTGATAAATAGGGTAGGCTAAAGAAGGGATGGAAGTGTCAAAAACGAAAGTGAGTTAACTGAAGAGAGACAGGGAGAGATAGAGAGAAAGAGAAAGAAATGTAAAAGAAAAAGAGGAGGAGAGAAGAAAAGAGAAAAGAAGAGAATTTAAAAGAAAGATTTAAAAAAAGGGAGATACTGTAAAGAGAGAGAGAGAGAGAGAGAGAGAGAGAGAGAGAGAGAGAGAGAGAGAGAACTAGAGAGATTGGAGGTGTAAAAAGATAAAACAAAGGCGAAGAGAAAAAAAAGAGAGGCGAATTACGAGAGATAAAAGAAAATGAAGACTAGGACAGAAAAAAAATCACATAGATTAAAAGGAAGAAAAGATCACGGAAAGAAGAAAGTAAAATTAGAAGAAAAATATGAAAGAGAGAAGGCAAGAACAGTTAAAAGAAGAGAAGGAAAGAAAGAAAAAAATATAATAGAATGGCAAACAGAAAGAGAAAAAATAGAGATATAAGTCGACTAAGAGAGAGTAAAAGGAGTAGAGAGGGAGAGAAAGAGAAGAAAGACGACATAAGAAAGAGAAAGATATATAGAGAGACTAGAAGAAAGAGAGAGGGAAGGAAGGAATGAGGATAAATAAGAGGAAAAGGAAATTTAAGAGAGTGTGAGAAGGTTAGTGAAAAGCATGTGCAAACGGTAAAAATAAAGATGGCAGAAATAGGAACGAGGTTGACTTCCAAGAGATCGATATTAAAAGACTAAAATTGAAGAAAGGAGAAATAAGCGAGAAAAGAAGAGAGAGATAACGAAAGAAAGAGAGTAACAAGAGTAAAAAGCGGAAACGTTGGAGCGGGAATGGAGAGAAAGAAGAAAGCCGACCTGTAAAGAGGAAAGTGTGAAGTAAAAAAAAAAAAAAAAAAAATGAGGAAGACTAAAAGAAGAAAAGAAAGCAAAAAAAAAAGAAGATGAAAAAGAAAAGAACAAGGAGAAAACTAGAAAGAATTGTATGTGTGTGTGTGAGGGAGAGAAAAAGGGGGGAGAGAGAGAGACTGGGGGTGGGGGAAAGAAGAAATATGAATAGACGATAAAAGACAAGAGAAGCTGTAAACAGGCAGAAGAAGAATTGAAACTAAAGGAGACAAAGAAAAAAGGAAAGTAAGAATAAGAAGGGGGAGGAGTATGAAGGGGAGGATAAGAGTATGGCTGAACTAGAGAATGCGAAAAAGAAAGAATAAATGGAGGCAGGGAGGTAGGGAGGAAGGAAGGAAGGAAGGAAGCAAAGAAAGAAGAAGAAGAAGAAGAAAAAGAAGAAGAAGAAGAAGAAGGGGAGGACGAGGAGGAGGAGTAAGAGAAGAGTGTGGCTGAAATAGAGAATGCGAAAAAGAAATAATAAAGGAAGGAAGAAGAAGAAGAAGAAGAAGAAGAAGAAGAAGGGGAGGAGGATGAGGAAGAGGGGGATTGGAAGAGTGTGGCTGAAAGAGAGAATGCGAAAAAGAAAGAAGTTAGGAAGGAAGGAAGGAAGGAAGGAAGGAAGGAAGGAAGGAAGGAAGGAAGTAGTAGTAGTAGTAGTAGTTGGAGGAGGAGGAAGATAATGGTGCGGCTGAAATATAGAATGCGAAAACAAAGAATAAAAAAAGGAGGAAGGAAGGAAGGAAGGAAGGAAGGAAGGAAGGGAGGAAGGAAGGAAGGAAAGAAGGAAGAAGAAGAAGGGGAGGATGAGGAGGAGGGGGAAATGAAGAGTGTAGCTGAAATAGAGAATGCGAAAAAGAAAGAAGGAAGGAAGGAAGGAAGGAAGAAGAAGAAGAAGAAGAAGAAGAGTGTGGCTGAAATAGAGAATGCGAAAAAGAAAGAATAAAGGGAAGAAGAAGAAGACGGGGAGGAAGAGGAGGAGGAGGGCGAAGAGAATAGTGTGGCTGAAATAGAGAATGCGAAAAAGAAAGAATAAAGGAAGGAAGGACGAAGAAGAAGAAGAAGAAGGCGAAGCTAAAATAGAGAAAAAAGAAATAAAACTAACGAAAGACGAAGAAAAGGAACAAGAACGAAAAAGCTGAAATAAGGAAAGAGAAAAGAAGAACAACAAAGAGACAAAGAAAAAGATCGCTAGTTTATGGGTGATTTAAGGATGGAATAATGATCTGTAAACTACTGCTGCTGATTATGGCGGCCAATGGAGGTGGCAGGTATGATAGATTTTTTTTTATTTTTTTATTTTTTTATTTAATGTTTTGGGGTTATTTATTTATTTATTCCTTGAAAATAGAGTAAAATGGACGTAAGACAATTTTCAGACAAAAACAGACCACTTCCCCTCGAGTAAACACAACACTTCGAAACGGAATCTAATTTGGAAATATATATATATATATATATATATATATATATATATATGACGGAAAAACAAATTAAGTCAGAGTTGATAAGAACATATCTTTTGGTAAAATTTTTGACGGCATTTAACTACTGATATATTGTCTCCAATACTAAGACGCACACACACATGTGAACACACACACATATACATAAACAAAACACACACACACACACACACATATATATATATATATTTATTTTATATATATATTTATTTATTTATATATATATATATATATATATATATATATATATATATATATATATATGTATGTATATGTATCAATGCCGGGTGTAACAGAAAAATTGTCCAAATCGTGTAAAGGCATAATTATCCATTCCACAAAATGTTTAATATCTAAAAAAAAAAAAACTAAACTAATTGAGTTTCTGTTTCCAGGTTTTCATATACAACGTTTAGCCATCTTGAAACCAATTCTCGTAAGAAAGAGTGAAAAACCCTTTGAGTTATTCAGTTAAAAAGAGAGAAGGTTAAAATTGTGAGCAATGGTGAGGCGAAAAAGATCATTCAGGCCTTCAATAATCGTACAAAAATGCATACTTTGGCTTCATCAAGAGAACGGTGAATAAGTTTAAAAGAGAGGGCAGAGTAGATAAGGAAACTGGATCAGGAGCTCACAACAGCAAGAGGGATCATCATTTCAACTCAAACCTAAAGAGATCCATTAGAAAAGATCCAACCCAATCCATAATGTGTTTGGCGCGCGAGAGAGGAGTTTCATCTCTGACAGTCCAAAAAGCCGTAAAAAAGACTTGAAAATGAAATCGTACGTGTAAGCTGTGAGGCAATTTCTTACTACAGGACAGGAATTTAGAGAGTTAGAGAGAGTGAAGATCATTTCGAATAAGTTGGAAAAATGATTCTGGAATTATATATATATATATATATATATATATATATATATATATTTGAACTTTATATCAATTCTTTTGTGAGCTTCCGATCCTTAGCTATGATTAATTAATCTATCTTCTTCAGGTAATACGAACTGAACACTTTATTTCGTCCACCGGGATAGATTGTTCTAGTTCCACACGCCATGCCTCTTCCGGATGTCTCAGTTATCTTCCTTTAACTCAACTCTCCAAGGATACATGACCCAGTGGATAGCGTTGGTTGGATCCAGTGACTTGAACCAAACAGTTGTGAGTTCACTTCCTAGCTACTGCAGTGGTGAACAGAAACTTGGTGAGTTCAGTTAAAGGGAGAGAACTGAGACATTGGGAAGAGGCATGGCGCGTGGAACTAGAATTATCTACCCCGGTGGATGAAACAAATGGTTCAGTTGTAAATTCCAATCACCTGAAGTAAGCCGGTGCTTACAACGGCCGAAACGTTGTGAATATTGCAATAAGTTGAGGACAACAGTCCGAACAATATAAATAGTGTAAATAATTACAATACCTCATCTCAGAAATATAAAGGGATCCTGAGAAAGGCCGAAGCATACAACGGCCGAAATGTCGTGAATATGGCAACGAGGATGAGGACAATAATCCGAGCAATGTAAATAGTGTAAATAATTACAATACCTCATATCGGAATTATAGACAAGATATTAGTTAAGTCATTATCAAAGTAGTCTCGTTCATTGTGTTGCGGGGGGGGTTAAAACCGTATTTTCTTTGATTGTGTTATTTATGTTAAATTCTTGGTTGAAAAAAAAATGCGGTTTCCATCTTTATTTACATACGTTCTATCCCTGATATCGAGCACTTTGACTCATAAATATAGAATGCCTTAGAACAATATTTTTATCATCATATTTTTATCATTATATATATATATATATATATATATATATATATATATATATATATATAAGGTTCTTTTAAACGTAGATGGCGCAATCATCGATTGTCATTTCAGCTAGAAAATCTTAGGTACTCTTCCAAACTAGGAATCAACCGATAAAGAATTGTGGAATTTGAAAGCCAAAACAGAAGGGATCCATTTGTAAGGTGGAAAATTTAAAAAAAAAAAAAAGCCAAAACCGTACAAACAATCAAAACAATATTTGCAACCTCTGCCAACAGGAAAAATTAGCGACTATGACATTTCCGGATCCAAAGAATCTTTTAAACCAGAAATCCGAAGTCTTAAGTTCTTGCTTACATATCAGAAAATTTTTCTTAAGTGCATATGAGGTTGGATAAAAAAACAATTTAACACCCACGAATTAATTTACATTATTATTATTATTATTTTCTTCTTCTTCTTCTTCTTCTTCTTCTTCTTCTTCTTCTTCTTCTTCTTCTTTGTTTATTTTAAAAATAGTTTTAAAAAAATCATTAGGTGGTCATTGATAAAAAAAAATGCCCGAAGAAACCAGAAGGTCGAAACCAAGGTAGCGGATCCAACTGACCCCCTAATTTTTAAAGTTAAAATCTCTACATGTTATTTTTACTTTTGCTTTTCACACGTGTATTGAGCACTTTCTAATATTACTGTTTCCTGGTCAGATTCAACTCTGACCATTAAGCTATATATAGGAAACTGATCTTAATCGAACATGTTTCAATTGATCAAGATAGAAATGATAAAAAATGATGAAAAGCAAAGAGACATAGATTAACTGTATGTTTTCTTGCTTAGATACGTGTCACATCTATTGAAGTAACCGATAATATTTAAATATATGTGTTTGGCCTTGTGTTACATCTAAGCTATGCTTAGAAAATCACTGTATTCAAATATATGTGGCAAACTTTTAAAGTGTGTCAAAGTTAGTATGATCCAGTAGGATGTTTTGATTGGATACGTGTCACGTGCAAGGAATTAACAGATATTATCAAATAAGTCTTAGAAAACATTCTGTATTTTAAAGTATGCAACGGTTAGTGAGACGCTGCAGGATATTTTGAACAACTTTTCTTTAGAGTATAACTCGTGCGTATTTTATATATATATATATATATATATATATATATATATATAAGAAATGGAAAAAGTCTGACAATTTATTAAAGACATTTTTATGCTTAACGTTCTTTTTATAGATACAAGTATTTTAGTAAATGCTCTGTTTATAATAAACGGGTATTAAATAACATTTACCGGCCTGAAAAGATTCGTCCTTTGACAGGATTCGAACCTGCATCCTATACGGAACCGTCATTTAGCTTGACGTGCTTAACTGATCGGCCACAAAGGATCGTTCGATTGGCAAGGTCGAATTTACTGCTTATAAACTTCAATCTTCCATGAATCTCGTACATTCATAACTGCTCATGGCATACCAAATGTAAACAAATGACGTCATACGTTAAGAAATGGACAAAGTCCGACAATTTATTAAAGACATTTTTATGTTTAACGAGATTAATGTCGACGTCAGACGTTTCGGTCTAGTAGACCTTCTTCAGGACATATTCATAAAACATAATTAACATTAGACGATATTCAAGTCAACATGAAAAGACGATGGCCATAAGAGTAAGACTAATCAAAATAGAATAACTGAAATTTTTAAGATCAGCGTTCCGTTTCACAATATGATCAAGTCGCGTCACGTCTGCGATGTTGTGAAAACGGTGAATACGAGACCCGGCTTCTTTAATATTTCCCCCTTTCTAGCAAGATTAATGCTCGACAAACGTACTTATAAATTTTAGATTAGAATAAAAATATTTTTCATTTTTCATTTAAAATATACTCTATTTTAGGAATATATATAATTTTTGGTTCTCACTAGTCGAGAAGAAGCCACATATTTGTGGTGAACAAGTTGTTTTTGTCCATATGTAAAAATTATATATATATATATATATATATATATATATATACAGACAAACCACTAAGAATCACAATTTAATTTCAAGATACCATCACAATAATTGCATCTATCATTATTATCATTGCACCACCATTAGTAATCACTTTTACAACTTTACAATAACTATTAACTAATAATGGTATTTACTTGACTCCCACTAAGTCAAGATGTGACACAAGGTCGTTTAATGTGGGAGACCCGAGCGTTTCCACTCAAAGGCCACTGGTCAAAATTGGTCATAGCTTGTCCAAGCTGGTCAGAGCCTAGTCAAAGCTGGTCATGACTTGTCCTAACAGGTCCAGGCCGGAGCCAGTCCAAGCTAGTCGAAGCCTTGATCGAATCTCAGCCATAGGCCAAGAAAAGATCCAATATTTGTCAAAAACCCCAGCCGAAAAATCGGCCGGGCGAATTATTAACTATTAACTAATAATATTATCATTACCACCAACACACTGCACCATCACTTACACATCACACCCACTATTAACATATAAATCCACTACAATCTTTATTACTCCCCCAGCATATTTAATACCTTAAAACAATACGATCAGATATAATTTCCATATGTAACCATGAGAATAAACACCTATTACCAGGCAGCTTTAATATAATAACAATAATAATTTTGTAATTAAAATATTAAAAATTATAGCAATCTCCAACTACCATAATTTTACACAGAATACCTATCATCAGGATTTATACCAAAATAAATTAATACATATAACAAAATAAAACAAAAATAAAATAAAACACCAACAACCACTTTTTAGTTCAAGCTACCACCACTATAACTACATTCATGGTTTTATCATTCTCCCACCACCGTTACTAATCATTTCTACCAATTTACAATTTCTACCAATTTACAATAACTATTAGCTAACTATCATTGTCTCCAATCCCTTGAAACATTACTATCACATCATATCATATAGACCAGTTATTAAATTGAACTACCCTCTCACCCAGCACATTGAATATTAAACTAAACATCACCATGTAAATTAACCAATAAGGATCACAGTCACCAAAAACAAACAAATAACCAGCTTTAAATATAACAAATAAACCCCCATTTTTTTTTTAAATTTAAAAATAAATATAAATAATAATAATTTTTACCTATCATAATTTTACACAAACCCCACCACACGTATATACATACATGCGAGGAAATATTTTTCAGCGGAAAAATACATAATATGACATGTATACATTCACGAGACATTAACGAGACATTTTCGCCACACTTCCAATGTTTAAATTTCAACATTTCAACATACAAATGCGTATGTATAGACATAACACCACCCGTATACATACATATGTCATATCTGAAACTGCCCACATATGTTTATATATGTATGAGTCCCGACGGACGACCAAGTATGTATATGTGTCTGCATACATCGATGTTTGCGTTAGTACGATGAATGACAAAACGACGAAGTTTCCCCACCACTTCCACAATAACACCAATACACGCAATCTACATAAACCCAAATTTTTTAAAACATTAATCAGTTTGTCTGACGATCGCTAAAGCGTGAAACCCAGGGTCACAAACTCACATCTATCCAACCAAATATGTCAGCTCTATCTCTGATATTGAGCGCTTTCTAATAAGTACCTAGGCATATAATATATAAATAATTATACATATATATATTTATTTATATTTATACACTTTCACACACACACACACACACACACACAATATATATATATATATATATATATATATATATATATATATATATATATATATATATATTGGTTTGATATGTGACCTTTTCACGCTTTAGAGTTTGTCTGACGATCGCTAAACGTGACAAAACACATCTATCCAACAAATACACTCTATCTCTGACACTTTCTACACATACACACATATAATATATAAATATTATATATATATATTTATTTATATTTATATACATTTTCACACACACACACACACACACACACACACACACACACACACACACATATATATATATATATATATATATATATATATATATATATATATGATAAGAGATCCTTGCATTCTGATTAAGCATTGTTTTGTCTTTGAATTTTCCATGTCGACAAGTTTGTCGGATGTGAAGATTATGAGACAAAGTAGAAATTTTTTTATTCGAAGACGCGTTTCGCCGATGAAAAGCTTGTTCTTTGTGGCGTCATCAGTTCGAAAAAAAAAAAAAAAAAAAAAAAAGAAAACTATAGTCGAACTGATGACGCCAAAGAGAACAAAACCTTTCCTTCGGCGAATGGCGTTCTTGATTAAAAATTTACTGATAAATATACAGTTTTATGGTACGCTATATTTAAGAGTTAAAGTGCTTGATGTCAGCGAGAGGGCTTATTTTATCCGCTGTTCACGTTCTTTCGATATTTTTTCTTTAAATTCGTTCATTTATATAGTCTTCTTTTTTTCTATTCATTTATAAGTCTCTCTCTATCAATTATAGAGATTTCTTTCTTGTTTCTTTCTTTCTTTTTCTTTCTCTCTTGTTTCTTTCTTGTTTCTTTCTTTCTTGTTTCTTTCTTTCTTGTTTCATTTTCTTTTTCTTTCTTTCTTGTTTCTTTCTTTCTTGTTTCTTTCTTTCTTGTTTCATTTTCTTTTTCTTTCTTTCTTGTTTCTTTCTTTCTTGTTTCTTTTTTCTTGTTTCTTTCTTTTTCTTTCTTTCTTGTTACTTTCTTTTTCTTTCTTTCTTGTTTCTTTCTTTCTTTTTCTTTCTTTCTTCTTTCTTTTTTCTTTTTCTTTCTTTCTTGTTTCTTTATTTCTTGTTTCTTTTTTCTTTTTCTTTCTTTCTTGTTTCTTTCTTTCTTGTTTCTTTTTTCTTGTTTCTTTCTTTTTCTTTCTTTCTTGTTACTTTCTTTTTCTTTCTTTCTTGTTTCTTTCTTTCTTGTTTCTTTTTTTCTTTTTCTTTATTTCTTGTTTCTTTCTTTCTTTTTCTTTCTTTCTTCTTTCTTTTTTCTTGTTTCTTTCTTTCTTTTTCTTTCTTGTTTCTTTCTTTCTTCTTTCTTCCTTTCTTTCTTTCTTCTTTCTTTCTTTCTTGTTTCTTTTTATACATATTTTTAATTATGTAGTTTTTTACTCTTTCGTTTTTTTACTTCTTTTTCTATCAATTATATAGACCTCTTTTTTTTCTTTTCGTCTTTATACATCTTTTTCAACGATATAATCTTCTATTCTCTTATTTGCAGTTCGGATTGAGGAATCAGAGAGCCAGTCGAATCCATTATATTCACTTACCTGCTAATACCCTTGGCAAAGGTATGAATCCTTTTCTTCTCCACCAGTTATAGGTAAATAGAGGGACAGACCGGGTTCTATAGCCTTGGATGGTAACTGATCTACCGCAGAAAGAAATGGCAACCTACTGCGGGAAAAATCTGCCTCATCAGTCATGTATCGAAAGATACATGATCGCCTAAGCGTGTATCACGCATCGCACATAACTGACTGATATCTTTCTCTATCAATTATATAGACTTCTTTCTTTTTTTCTTATTTTCTTCATACGTCTCTTTCTTCTAATTATATATATTTATTAAGTCTGTCTTTCTTTCCTTCTTTCTTTTTCTCTTTTCTTTGTACATCTCGTACTTTATAGACGTCTTTCTTTTCTTTCCTCATACTCTTTTTTTTTCATAATTATATATTCTTTTTATTTTATGTATTTCTTTCTTTCTTTCTTTTCGTTCATTTCTTTCTTTTTTCTTCATCCATCTTTTTCTGTAAATTTTATAGACTTTTTGCTTTTTATTCTTTTCTTCATACGTTTTTTCTTGGATATATATATATATACTTCTTTCTTTCTTTTTATTTCTCTTTTGTTTCATTTCTTTTCTTTTTTTTCTTTGTACGTCTTTTACTATAAATGATACAGACTTCATTCTTTTTTTTCTTAATTTCTTCATACGTCTTCTTTCTTTATTCTCATTTCGTTCTTTTCTCTGCTTTCTTATTTTGTCCGTCTTCTTCTTTCAATTATATAGACTCCTTCCTTGTTTTTCTTCTTTTAGTTCTTCTTTTGAATATCTTTATCTTTCATTTCTTTCTTTCTTTCTTTGAATTATATAGATTCCGTTCTTTTTCTTTTTTTCTTTTGTCATATTTTTCTAGCACTTTTCCTTTTTTTTTAAATGTTTTCTTTCAGTAGGCTTTCGTATATATTACGTTTTTATGATGCTACATTCATTCATTTCTGATGGTTACTTGCCTTCTTCCCCCTCTAAATCAACCATTCACGTTCATTCGTTCTACGACCTTGCTGTGAGCTCTATGCCACCACCGGATTCTGTCTCGGAGGCTTTTCGTAGCAATCAATAACAGAATTCTCGCTCTAATCTCGTCAACGAGACGAGACAAGACGAGACTTATCATTGAAGCAGACTGTTTACCGTGGATCTGCCGCGGGCGAAGGGACGAGAACAATAGCATTTTCCACGGCCACAAAATGACGGACAAACGTGTTTAGATACAGTCTGAAAATGGAGGAGACAAGGCCGACCCTCTATTGTGGGCTTCATAGCCTGCAGTTATCAAGAGAGATTCAAAATCAAATTCGGCCAAAGAGACGCATCGATGTTAATCTTTGTGATAAAAAGAATTGATAAACACAAAGTGTCGGCATTGTGCCGACAAATTCGATATCATTGTATGAATACAAGAGTTTATCAAATGATAATTTTTCCTATTTTCGTCTCTAATCACTGACTCTCGTCCCATTGTCGTGTTTCTATCATTTGGCTTCGCGTTGGAAAACTCCCGCCGAGTAAATTTTAATCTGACTTTGGAAGTAACTACCAGGAGGGCATGAAAGGGACGTTACTCTTTCTGAAGTCGCAGCAGGCGACAAATAAACACTCGGCTCAGCGAAGTTAAGCTCAAGCGAAAAAGGCAATAGCATCCCTGGGTGAATATTTTCTTTTCGGAAAGACTACAGCATATAATATATATATATATAAAGACATTTTTATGTTTATACATTCTTTTTATAGATACACATATTTAAGTAAATGCTCTGTTTATAATAAACACTATTAAACAACATTTACCGGCCTGAATATCCGAGAAATTTTCATAGAAAATATTCATCCTCCGACAGGAATCGAACCTGTATCCTATACGGAACAGTCATATTGCCTGACGTGCCTTTAACCGATTTCACCACAGAGGAGCGTTCGGTTATCAAGGTCAATTTTACTGCCTTTAAACTACAATCTTCCATGTGTGACGCCATTTGTTTACATTTGGATACGCATTGAGCAGATATTAATATACGAGAGAGAATCATGGATTAATTAGTAAGGCATTTATCACTGATAATTAGTAAGGCATTAATCACTGATAATTAGTAAGGCATTTAGCATTATTACCCCACCCACATCACAAATAAATTCTTACAATCTTTAAATAGCCTGAAGATGTCTGATAACCCATAGAAAACGCAACAATCAATCATTGAGGAATTAAAGTCAGTTAAATTAGATCGCTTAGCATCTACCATAGTTTACTTTGACTTTCACAGTTAGTCTTAAGAATATCTTTGAACGTTCTTACATTTAAAATTTTTAAAACCTAACGATATATATATATATATTACTACTGTTTATAAATACCTATTGCAAAATAATATCTTTAAATTTACCTTGATAACGTCCATCAGCGGACGAAACGCGTCGGTATAGAATGTCTCACCATCTATAAAATGATCTCTTTCCGATATTGACTAATCTCTCACATAGGTAACTTCAAGCAATATATATATATATATATATATATATATATATATATATATTATGTTCCTTGAAATTAAAAAAAAGTCTTTAGACATTGAACGGCGTAACAATAATGCCAATAACTCTCTGTCGCTGAAACAGACGGGATAATATGCGTCTAATAAATGTCATCAATCGCTTTAAAATACAAACCCCGCTCCTACCTTGACTTGACCTTATTTTGAAGGTAACTAATATGGTGATACAATGTGTTAACCCTTACGCCCCTTACTGAAATAATTACTCCATCCGTTTGCATAATAAATAATATTACGAATGAATATGCTTATAAAACTGCGTAAATTTCAAGATTAGTTATTCCAAAACATTCGCTTGAAGATGAAACAGAGCTTTATACTTTAATTCAATTTATTTTTTATAATTAAATTGATGTTTTTAGCTCCTGTTTTTGAAACATGAGAACTCTTATGTAGTGATGGAATCATATTTTTAAAAAATATATATATATATATATATATATATATATATATATATATATATATATATATATATATTCATGAATTATTCACACAAAACAAATGCAAAGGTTAATGATTTAATTGGCGAGAAATCCATCGTCGCAAACAATTCAAATAATATACAAAACCTCCGAACCCGTTATGAATGAAAAGATCCTTATTTCTATAAATTTCTGCCGCATTAGTTCTTATTTTTTACTACAAGCTTTCGTCTGTTCATACAGACATCTTCAGGTATGGAATAGATGTTGTTCTTGTTTTTCTCTCAGTAATAAAAGGACAACGAAAATATATGTATTGTTGTATCCGAAAATGCTATTGGAAATGAGTTATTGTTTTTGGAGCGTGCAGTAGCAACGCTGAGTTTGATTTTAAATTTTTACAGTTGTGCGTTCATGTACAAATATGGTGATATACGAATTTTTACTGGTAAATTTTCTGTCAAAGTGGCATGAACTATATTGTTCAATAATTACAGTAATGTCGCACTTATTATCCAAAAGCACAAAAAATTATTTGATCTTTTTTGTGTATCTTGTTTTTTCATTCGTAACGGGTTCGGAGGTTTTTGTATATTATTTGAATTGTTTGCGACGATGGATTTCTCGCCAATTAAATCATTAACCTTTGCATTTGTTTTTGTGTGAATAATTCATGAATTTGTAAATTGATTGCACGTTTATCGAAATATATATATATATATATACATATATATGATCCTCCTGAAGTTTTTTGACGTATAAGGGGTAACTAACTATATTCCTAGTAAAACACACATATAGGGATGAATACTTTGTGCAGTATTAACCACACTTTCTATGCCACAAGGCTCCAAAAAACTCTTTGCATGTTTTGAATTGAGAGTCCTCCTAGACTGCCATCTTTTGCGATCAAAATCGTGAAACAAACTACTACCACTACAACTGAATATCTTAGCTCTATCACAGAGGTTGACCATTTTCCACTAAGTATCGCGTATATATATATATATATATATATATATATATATATATATATATATATATATATATATATAAAGTAGGAAGGAACTGGTTAGGTAAATAATCCAAAGTTGCTTAGTATTTTAGTTATTATTTTTAAAAAATAGTGCTCGATACAAAAGTAGAGCATAAATATAATTATTTATTTAAAACTATGATTCCAACTCGCATATAAGAGGTCTCATGTTTCAAAACGCAAAAAAAAATTCAATATAATTATTTGAATTAAATTGACTTAAAATAAACTCTGTTCCATCATCAAGCGAATTTTTTTTTTTTTTTCAACCTTGGAAAAAACATGAGTCCCTCTTATGTCATGAGTTGAATCATAATTTTAAATAAATAATGTATATATATATATAATAATATATATATATATATATATATATATATATATATATATATATATACAATCAAGAATATATATATATATATATATATTGCTAATATACATCTCTAGATATCTACAGTCAGGGATAGATAGATAGATAGATAGATAGATAGATAGATAGATAGATAGATAGATAGATAGATAGATATGAACAGACTCAGACAGATAGATAGATAGATAGATAGATAGATAGATAGATAGATAGATATGAATAAGATGAAATAGGGATAAATAGATAGATAAATAGATAGATAGATTGATAGATAGAAACAGTCTGTTATCATAAGCAATGCTATTTTTGTTAACATCTATCTGTTTATTTATCTCTTTTCTGAGAGATCTACAGTCAAGAATAGATAGATAGATAGATAGATAGATAGATAGATAAGTAGAGAAAACTGGAGTGATGTACAAATGTTCCTTCTTCTATTTGGCTTCCTCCTTCAGGAATATGGGTGACATGTTTTTTTTTCTCAACCTCCCAACCTTCGTATCCTTCGTATCTTTTAGTCACAATTGTCCTTTGATTATTTCCCCGTCCCTCCCACCATACATTCACAGGAGCTTGTCAGGTATGTGCCCGATGCCTCTCCCTGTCCCTCTCCCCTTCTATATGAATCGTGCGTGACAAATTTTCCAAACCTCCATTCCACATGATTTCTCCCATAAATATCAGCTGTCTCTATGATTTTCATTCTAAAAAGATTTGGAAGCATTGGAAGCTATAAACTAGTTATTTCTTTCTCATTGAGTTGTTAGACCGAAATCAAATGTTTGATAAGCTGTAAGATTTTTTTAATTGCTTTATTGTTTTAAAACATATTAATTTATTCGTGCCGTCAAAATTGACGGTAATTGTTAGAAAGTTTTAATAGTGAGATGCAATGAAACAAATATCCTGAAACAATGTATTGAGATTAAAAAACCATGTATTGAGATTAGAAAACAATGTATTGAGATTAAAAAACAAGGTGTTGAGATTAAAAAAACAAAACAATGTATTGAGATTAAAAAACAATGTATTGGGATTAAAAAACAATCTGTTGAGATTAGAAAACAATGTCTTGAGATTAAAAAAAACAATGTGTTGAGATTAAATAACAATGTATTGAGATTAAGAAACATTGTGTTGAGATTAAAAAAATGCAATGTATTTAGATTAGAAAACAATGTATTAAGATTAAAAAACAATGTATTGGGATTAAAAACAGTGTGTTGAGATTAAAAAACGTGTTGAGATTAAAAAAAACAATGTATTGAGATTAAAAATGTCGAGATAAATAAACCACAGCTTAAATAGACGCCAATGAACCGTCTAATTAATCCGTTCCCTTTATATTTATTAAACGTTCAATGATTACTCCTGGTATTATATAAATCGATTTCTGCTCGATATCTTTTCGTGATAAAGATGTCCTTAATATAACTGTGAAATGGAAATATATCTCGGAAGAAAAAGATTAACAACAAAACAACAAAAACAGCGACAAAAAAAGCTTGTTTCCTTTCCAATATGAACCAAATCGGCGACTTAATAAACAAAAGTATCTGAGCGCCTCACATGAAAATCTTGAGCAAATAAGGCTGCAGTCTAAGAAACGTAACAGAAAGGATCTGGTTAAGAAAACGGTTCATTTTGCTCGGGATCGGATATTGTCGAAATGCAGATAGATATTTTATTTTATAGATTATTGAAACATCTAAGGGAAATAACCTTAAATTGATTTTTCTCCATTTTATTTACAGATGGGACAGGAAATATATAAATAGATAAACAGTGATAATTATTTTATAGTTTTATTCTTCATCAAGCTTAAAGTTGGGATGACTCTACATAAAGCCGGTGAGTTTTTATAATTCAACTGCACCAACTGCACGCCATGCTTAGTGCACATAGTAGTCTCAAATGTTCACTCATCTAGGTACTGGCTAAGCTCGAAGTTGCTTAACTTCGATGATCGTACTGGTGTTTCAACGTGATGTGACGGTAAGCCGAAATAAACGTATGCCAATCAGGAGAAAATTCGTTGTTGGTACGAGATAACTCGTCTTCGGCGTCATAATAAAAACTGCCAACCACGAGTTATCTCGTCGTTGACAGTCAATGTGCTAAAGCCATTGGCGTTGGCTTAAGATTCCAAATCCATGTTACCCAGTAACGGATCAAACTCACGTCCTGATTACTGGCAGTGCTGCAAATTGCTAAGGATTGCTCTAGAGTAAGGTGGACGTTTCCAAGGAATTACTTCTTTACTTGGCGTTAAAACTCTTCCCGCATACATGTATGTAGAGTGAGAAGCGTCTCTTTCCGCGTGCGAGGGAAGGGATCGCCTCATTGTGGGCGGGAAGAGAGAGAGTTCGCACGTAGAGCCAGATTTATTGCAATAGGTTTAGATAAGGTCACCCGACATTTCTATCGATTTCTACCCCGAAGCAAGGCTTAGAGATATAATGCTAAATACCAGGTGGCGGATGGGGTGGCCGGGAGATTTGAGAGTTGTTCGCGGAACAGAGACAGATTTGTTGGCCTTTCTGAGAGTATTTTTGTACGCACGCGTGAGGGCAGTGATGTGCTAACCCTGCCCGCCGGCGAGGGCTTTATGAATATAGGATCATAGGGAAGAAAAAAAACTCACCTGCACAAACCGTACTGCACATGGAAGTGTGGTCACTCATCTAGGTACTGGCTAAGCTCGACGTTGCTTAACTTCAGTGATCGTACGGAAAGTGGTATTTCAACGTGATGTGACGGTAAATTGAAATATATGTATGCGAAGCACGAGAAAATTCGTTGTTGGTACGAGATAACTCGTCGTCGGCATCATAATAAAAACTAGCAACCACGAGTTATCTCGTCGTTGACAGACAATGTGCTAAAGCCATTTGCGTTGGCTTATGATTACAAATCCCCGACACCCAATAACGGATCGAACTCACTTCCCGATTTCTGGTGAAAGCAGAAGTTGCTACACATTACTCAAAAGCAAGGGGTACGGTTCAGATGAATTACTTCCTTGCTTATCCTAACGTAGGTACTGACCAGGTTTGACATTGCTTAACTTCGATGATCGTACGGGAAAGCTTTATAACAGAAATGATATGAATTTATATGAATAATACAATTGTAAATTAAATAGTGTGTACAATCTCAAACCCAGTGGTTATCTGTAAAAGACTTTGTGAATAAAAACAAAGAAAAACTCTTTCTATTCGTTCAGTTCGACATTCCAACCACCTGAAGAAGACCGGAGCGTACAACAGCCGAAACGTTGTAATAAATATGGCGACAAAGATGAGGACAATAGACCGAATAATGTAAATAATGTACAAAATACCTCATCTCAGAAATATAGATAGATAGTGAAAGGCCGAAACATTGTAATAAATATGGCGACAAAGATGAGGACAATAGTCCGAATTATGTAAATAGTGTACATAATACCTCATCTCAGAAATATAAACAGATACTGAAGAGCCGAAACGTTGTAACATATATGGCAACAAAGATGAGGATAATAATCCGAATAATGTAAATAGTGTACATAATACCTCATCTCAGAAATATAGAAAGATACTGAAGGGCCGAAACGTTGTAATAAATATGGCGACAAAGATGTGGACAATAGTTCGAATAATGTAAATAATGTACATAGTACCTCATCTCAGAAATATAGACAGATACTAAAGGGCGGAAACGTTATAATAAATATGGCGACAAAGATGAGGACAATAGTCCAAATAATATAAATAGTGTACATAATGCCTCATCTCAGAAATATAGACAGATACTGAAGGGCCGAAACGTTGTAATAAATATGGCGACAAAGATGAGGACAATAGTCCAAATAATGTAAATAGTGTAAAAACACCTCATCTCAGAAATATAGACAGATAATGAAATACCGAAACGTTGTAATAAATATGGCAACAAAGATGAGGACAATAGTCCGAATAATGTAAATAGTGTACATAATGCCTCATCTGAGAAATATAGACAGATAATGAAATACCGAAACGTTGTAATAAATATGGCAACAAAGATGTGGACAATAGTTCGAATAATGTAAATAGTGTACATAGTACCTCATCTCAGAAATATAGACAGATACTGAAAGAAAAACTTGTATGCCAAAACAGAGCCTGAGCTGCAGAATCCACAATTTCAAGCCTTGATAAAATTCATTAAACGGTGGATGGATTATTTTCCTTTTTGCCAATCCAATGTAGACCCTTAATTTGAATAAAGAAAAAAAGAAAAACTTATCTTAGTTGACGCGTTTCGTCTTTTGAGGGACTTTATCAAAGCAAGTTATCTTGCACCAATAATCCATGTGATCACTCATCTAGGTACTGGTTAAACTCTATGTTGCTTAACTTTGGTGATCGTAAAGGAACGCTTTATAACAGAAATGATATGAATTTAAATGAGTAATACATTTGTAAATTAAATAGTGTGTAAAATTTCAGACTCAGAGTTTATCTGTAAAAAAGACAATGTGAATAAAAAAAAAAAAAAAACTTGTATGCCATTTGGAGCTGCACAATCCACAACTTCAAGCCTTGATAAAATTCATTAAACGGTCTTCTGGTGGATGGTTAATTTTCCTTGTTGCCAGTCCAATGTAGACCCTTAATTTGTATAAAGACAAAAGGAAAACTTATATTAGTCGACGCGTTTCGTTCTTTGAGGGATTTTATCAAGGCAAATGCAAGAATTTTATTTTGTAACAAGTATTTATATGCAAGAGCAAACAATTTAAAAGTTAAGATTCTTTTGGCCTGATCCAACTCTTAATCGCAGTAATCTCCAAGAAACGATTAAAATAAATGGTGAAAGGAAAGAAATCATTTGCTACAAGAATATAATTTTAGCAGGTAAGGCCTCCCAGTTAAAAAAAAAACAAAAGAAAAGAAAAGAAAGAATACATGGAACGATAGCCCAGTGGATTAAGAAGTTGGTTCATGAATTGAATGACATAGTGATTATGAGTTCAATCCCTGGACAGGGCAGTGTATACTGCGTCAGTCGTGCTATCCTGTCCTGTGACGACCAACTTCCTTGGTATTGGTCGCGGCACCAAATGTGACGTTCTAACCTTTGGCTGATTCGGGTGGGAATCTGGTTAGATTCGGTATCAGCCTCGTCGTTCCCAGCTCGCCTCCAACGTCTGGTTACCGAAGTAACTGCTTTGATTTCTAGTCTAACCTACCCACGTTGTGATTTGATCTTAGGTAGACGAAATCAATCAGTCACCGGGCCGTAATTCAAGGGCAATACCGCACAAGTATATGTAAAAGAAAAGAAAATAATAACTCGAAAAGTTCAAATGTGTTAAAAAAAAAAAGGATAACAATACTTTATATCTGGTTGCTGAGTACAGGACTGAGTCTTCTTCCCAAACCCGCTATATGGATTCGTGACACTTTGTGTTTGTTAGGCAAGTCTTAACAGCTTAAGTTGTTTGTTCTTTTAAGAAACTGGTTCTTGGTGTGTCTTCAGGCGAAATTCGTAAATTAATAACACCGCTTAGTGTTCTTTTCGTGGTGGCTTCTTATCACCTAATTTTAATTCTCGCCTTTCCTTTTTTCTTTCCTTTTTATTTTCTCCTTTCTCCCTTTTAGCAAGCCTAATAGTGTCACAAATGTATTGACAAGGAAATAAGAGTTTGGCTATCAAATATACGCCCAAACACTGAAGAAATCGCTAAGATTCATGAGGTTCATGTTTCTCTAAACACAAGGATAAATAAACTTAAGGTATGTTTAAATTTATATATTTTTATTGCATTATTTCTATTCTGCAATATTTGACTTCATTATAACATGTTTTTCCGAAATTTGTATGTCGTTTGCCGACAATTATTGGTATGACTTCAAGTTCGCCCCAATTTAAAAAAACACGGAGGACCACTGTGTTAAAGAATCGTGTACGGTTTCGAAGAATTACTTCCTTGCTTGTCTTTAGTTGGTACTGACCAGGGTTGACATTGTGTAACTTCGTTGCTCGTACTGGAACCGCTATTTCAACGTGATATGGACGTAAGTCGAGAGAAAAGAATAGAGGCATGAAATGAAGTAAAAAGCAAGAGAGGCAGAGGAGAGAGAGAGAGAGAGAGAGAGAGAGAGAGAGAGGAGAGATTAAATGAAGAAAATAAAGATAGAAAGAAATGAAAACAAAGATATATATATATATATATCTTTACTTAATTTTTGTTTCTTTTCATATAAGATATATATATATATATACATATTATAATTAAGTAATTATATATATATATATATATGAATTATAATTCAATTAATATATATTATATATATATATATTAATTAATTATATGTAAATTACTTATAATATATATATATATATATATATATATATATATATATATATATATAAAGTGAACATAGAAGTCAACACTTAGAGGCGACAGTCTGTTTCATGCAATTGTCCAGGACACAGTGCTGTTATTTTTCGCTGCAGCCGAGAAAATAACAGCACTCGTGTGCCTGACAATTACATCTAGCATGAAACAGCCTGTCACCTCTAAATGTTGACTTATATTTACTATTACCTTTATCTTGGATATTGAGCACTTTATCTATAAATATAGCACGTCTTAAGACTATATTTCATAAATATATATATATATATATATATATATATATATATATATATATATGTGTGTGTGTATGTGTGTGTGTGTTATAAATAATTCATCCAGTCTAGAAGAAACTTCAACAGAAAGCACTGGACGGCCGTTTCGTCCTATACTTGGGACTCATCAGCAGTGCGCATCCACTAATGAGAGAATTGAAACCCTCATTGCCGAAACGATAGCGAATTGCGCCGTTCGTTCACATATTCCGTGGTAGAACTCATCGAATTTCCCTTACTCATAAGACTGTGCCCCGAGTACTATCCCTATATATATATATATATATATATATATATATATATATATATATATATATATATAACCTGATTTAAAATGTGATTTCTTCGCTACAAACTAATAAACATGTTTCAAAACGTGAAGCTAAAAACTTCAAATTTAATTATATAAATCAAATTAAAAGCATTAGTAGTTTCATCTTCAAGCGGATTTTGGAATAACTTATTTTTATTGTTACGTTTACTGAGATTTAAACTTTGAATTTATATGTGCGTTTCAAACTGAGTAAAGTGAAAAATAAAAATAAGTTATTCCAATGTTTTGAAACATGGTTATTACTGTGTAGCGAAGTTAATTTATAACATTTATGTTCTGTAAATTTACATTGAGCACTCTTTTGTAAAAATAAAAATAAAAAATATCATTAAGAACACCGGATTATATATCTTACTGTTCTTTCTTTCTTTTTTCTTGCTATATATATATATATATATATATATATATATATATATATATATATATAGATAGATAGATAGATAGATAGATGTATTATGATATAATATGAATATATATTTTATATATGATTTCATTTAATCTATATATATATATATATATATATATATATATATATATATATATATATATATTTATTTATAGATTTATTATGATATATGTATATATATCTTATATATGATTTCATTTTCCACCATTTCTTTCAATTCTTATTTCTCTCTCTTATTCTCTCTCTTTTTTATATATATATATATATATATATATATATATATATATATATATATATATATATATATACCACGTATATAATTGGTGTATACGGAGGAAATTCCAATAACCAGCAATTACTATTCTTAAAAGAGTGCTCAATACAAAGTAAGTAGATATATTTATTTTTTATAAAAAAAAATATAACATAAATATGTTATAAAGTCACTACAAAAATAGCCATCTTGTTTCAAACCCTGGTGTCTTATCAAGTGATGATGTTGAAGATATTTTATTTTATCTTCAACATCATCACTTGATAAGACACTGAGGTGTTTAAACAAAATGGCTATTTTTGTCGTGATTTTATAACATATTTATGTTTATAAATTTTTTATGAAAAATATATATATATATATATATATATATATATATATATATATATATATATATATAAAGAAAAGAAAGTGAAATAAGAATTGAAAGAAATTGTTGAAAAAATGAAATCACCGCCTCTGATTCTTAAACAAGGAAATATTTCAAATCCATAAAAAGAAAAAAAGCTAATCGCATCAAGATTATAACCGTTGAGAAAGAATCCGTGCCAATTGTATCCAAAATGGCGTTAACCGTCTATCGTCGCTCAATTATTATAATGAAAGCAGGAAAACAGCCGAACAGAAACCGTAATCTACTCATTTTGCAAGCCCAGAGATGCTGCCGTTATCTCTGTAAACGACGGGAAGGAAAAACTAAGAGTAAGAAGAAGGAGACTCTGTCCGGAAAATGGCGCGTTAAGGAAGAACAGGGGAGAAAAAGAGACGAGAAAGAAGTGAGAAAAAAAAAAACGATAAAAGAAAGTCATAATGGCGAAAAAGAAAAGAATTACATCGATGTCTTGTTAAGTCTGCGCTTCTATTTGCTGGGTGGAAATCGAAAGATCGTTTAGGTGTTTTCCTACCATTTGATTTGGACAAGGTTATGGTCATGAGCAAAACTGTCCGCAGGAGACAGCCACAAGACTTACGCTACAGATTCTTTCATAATCTCGAAAATCATGTATCCGATTTCTTCCTCAAACCACTGATTTCATAACTATTAATAAAAGGGTTTTTTTTTTTGACGAATACTTCAAACTTTGCTCATAAAACCCGAAAGCTTTTAAAGGAGCGTGCTAAGTTTTTCTTTCTCTTGAGAAAGCCATTGTATACCGATTCACAGATGTCCAACATTGATTTACCATTTATTGCTTCTATTTGCGAAACAATCATTCTGTAAATTGACTTCTGGCCAGGATTATAAAAGCGATGAGGCTGCCATGTACTTCCTCCTGCTAGGAAGACATTGGGGGTCGTCCGGGGAGAGGTTAAGGGACTAGATTCTTAAATTGAGAATTACAGGAAAATAACTTCAGCTTTCTTATCGATCTTTGTCTCAACTGACGGATAAACATTTTCATACAGGATAACCGCGATTCTTCGCCTGTCTGCGTTCCATGCGATGTTAAAATCAACACGGCAGTAGTTCAGGAGACATGAAGAAACTAATTATATATATATATATATATATATATATATATATATATATATATATATATATATAAGCGTCTGTGTGTGTATGTGTGTGTATATATATATATATATATATATATATATATATATATTTATATGTATGAAGAAAAACATACTGAAAAAACAAACAAAAATCTTAATATGCGTCGGAAGGGCAAAAATATTTTAAGTCAAGTGATAGCGATTGCTGTATATGAGTCATACGATTTTTAATCAAGCACAGGCAACGCCGGGCCATGCTGCTAGTATATATATATATATGTATTACAGTAAGGTTAACTCTCTACAAGTTTCGGGGCCATTCATAGTAGAGGGACACGATAAGGGTCAGTTTATACTGACAGGCCGGAAGATAACGGTTAGCTCTACACTTGAACAGGTTAAGATTGTAGTGATCGGGGAAACATCCTCTTGTGAGTCTGTTCCATAGGGCAGAGGTTTCGGAAGAAGCAGTTTGAGTGGAATACGGGGGGGGATGGTTTTCTACTATATAAGTGCCATTGTGGGTCCTAGCCGTGAAGATCATTCTTAGTGGAACAAGGAGATGCTATTCGACCGAGTGATTTTCATTGTAATAACGATAGAACAGTGAGTGTCTCGACACATCCCTTTTCGCGTGAGAGAATTTGGAGTGTGAAAAATAATCCTTCTCTGTTGTTCATGATGACGGTCGTCTTCGAGTATAGAATCCAGAGGTTAGCAATGAATATTTCGAAGACAGTAGGAAAGCGTTGTTCAGGTTAGCAGTGAATATTTTGGTAAAAGTAGCAGAAAATAGTTCGTCCTTCTGTTTCTCTTCGCTTGACAAACTGGACTGAACATTCGGGTAGAGTAAACAAAATGGCCGCCTTGATACACGACGGACTGAATATTCTACGTCTTCTGATTGGTTAACCTTTTATTGGTGGACTATAAAGTGAGTCAAGTCATTTGGGCTAGCTTACTAGTAAACATATATGCACAAAAAACTGCAACATTCTCCCATAAGGACGTTTTTGAGTTCTATCAAACATGCAACGTAAAGTCTGGACAGCCCCTGCCCAAATATGACAACAGTACTTCATTTTCAGCCAGATCCGACTTATAATAGCAGTATTATAAAAAAAAAAAGATGATAACAGATGGTGTAAGGAAAGAAATGATTTGGTACAAAAAAAATAATTTTAGCAAGTAAGGTCTCTCGGTTAAAACATACAAAAAAAATAAAATAAAATACACGTAACGATAGTCGAGTGGATTAAAGAGTTAATTCATGAATTAAGTGACATAGTGATTGTGAGTTCAATCCATTGATAGGGCAAAGTTTCCTTGGATTCGGTGGAAAAAGGAGAGCAATAATTGAGCAGGACTTAAAAAAAAACTGGACGAGATATCTCTAGACATGGGCAAGGGAATGAGAACAGTCTAACTCCTTTAATATAAATGAATGTTTCAGTTCGGAATTCCCTATTAGGTAACTAGATCGACATACACCTGATGAAGACCGGAGAGCACAATGACCGAAACGTCGGGATAACAACAATTAACAGTCCACATGAAAATAGTGTAAATAAGGATAATTCCTCATCCCAGAAATTTCCTACTTGGTAATTATTTAATCATTCTAACTGCTTTGTCCATATTTTCAATTGATATACATATATATATATATATATATATATATATATATATATATTCAATTGATATATATATATATATATATATATTAAGACATTTTTATGCTTATACATTCTTTTATATAGATACAAATATTTAAGTAAATGCTCTATTTATAATAAACTGTATTAACAACATTTACCGGCCTGAATGTCCGAGAAATTGTCATAGAAAATATGCGTCCTCCGACAGGAATCGATCCTGTATCCTATACGGATGCGTCATATAGCCTGACGTTCTTTTACCGATTTAGACACAGAGGTGCTTTAGGTTAGCAAGGTCGAATTTAATGTTTTTAAAACGGAATTTTCCATGATTTTCTCATGCACATTCATATATATATATATATATGCCATTTGCTGACATTACTGTTTCATTGTATCACAGTATTAACAACGTTTACCTCAGTGCGACTAGACAACCGATTGCCTCCAGCCCGGATCGAAACTCAATCGTTTTGGTGTAAGTCAGAGCTTCTGCCACTGAGTTATCTTCACTCGGCAGAAAGAGTCAGCCAAATCTAGCGTATTGTTTTTATAAACTTAAACAAATGCCAAGCAACCAAAGTGCTCCATTCGTTTTACTGAAGTGCTTAGTATTTACGCAGGTGACCGTTGTTTTTAGAATTAGCTTGTCATTCAATTCATATATATATATATATATATATATATATATATATATATAATATATATATATATATAAAAAACTCAACCCTAAAGAGGAAACATGGGATAAACCACTACTCCAGTTAAAAAAAAAAAGACCGGGTAGGAATGTGAACCGGACGATAAGCGAATCTATTTAATTCTGTTTATATTTTGTAATTTTGCTACAGAGCAGAAATGAGTGTCATGAAATTCATTTACAATCCCTGAATTTGACGGGAACCACTTGACAATCCAAGAAATTGCTTCTTCTGTATCGGGGGGGGGGCAAAAAATTATCGAGCTGTCAAGGATACGTTGGCTGTCACCTTCTGTCAGCCATCGCCTCAAAGACAGACTATTCTAGACTCCCCGTACCAACTCCTGAGAGTGTAGAGGTTATCTGAAGAGAACGGCTTTTCAGAAGCGAAGGAAGACATTGATCCAGAATACGGAGGCGTTGCTAAGGAGAGAAACCCATGCTAACCCAACTAGAAGGATCTCAAGAACCTTAACAGAGATCTTGGTCTCATAAAGCCCAATATCAAGACCCGAGCAGTGGAATGTTTTAGATGAAAGTGCGCGTGTCGCAGGTCACAGAAAGTGTCACCAGTGTTTTTCAAGCTTTTTTCAGCCGTCAAGATGGGCTTTGCTTTTACCACAATGTAACCGAGTCTGTTCGACGCATTTGGAATCGCTTGAAACCCCAGCGATTGGCGCCTCTTCATCGACATTTCATCCAAAGGCCTCAAAACCGCGTTGCTTTATAACGTCAACATGTATCCATTTCTTCCCCTGGCTTACTCGTTGCAGCTCAGATAGGAATACAACTGTGTCAAGATCTTATCTCTCAGTTGTATCTCTGTCTTTGGGCAGTTGTACGCGACTCTGCCCTCTTGCCTGGCCGCGTGTTTCTCATTGCACCAGACGAAGTATCGGTGCTCGTCGAGGCCAGTGCAACAGCCGGTTGAGCTGCTGGCAATTTTTTTCCTGATGCGCTCCGGTGTACGCCCTGGTGGGACTTAAAAAGACCTTGTATCATAACTCTTCTGGGGAGGTAAATACCCAGTAAATGTTTCAAGATCTTACTAGATGATTTGAAATATGAAGAGATAGTTATCGGGGACCTGAAAATGGTGGCCTAATTGACGAGTCTCCAAGGCGGCTTTACCAGGTTACCATGTTACCTTTTGGGACAGCACAGACACCGTGTTGCAGGGGCAGCGGGCAATTTTTTTTTCCCCATTTCTCTCGGTCGAATAAAATGTCTAGATAAGGGTCTGTCACTTTCAAGATTTTTTCCCTAAGTTGTCAGCGGAAAAAGTCAAAGAGTTCTTAGTCGGTAACGAATAAAGGAAAATTAAAACGGAGTTCCCCAAAGCTTACTAAAACGGAGAAAGCAGTGTGACGAGGAACAAAGTCAAATGGAAATATACAGTTTCCTATGCTGCATTTTAAATTGGTTCTTATGAAACAAATTGTCACAGCTCTATATAATGAGTTTGCAGCACCATAGTGCCTTCAAGAATTCTACCCTATGCTGTCTGAGGCTAAAGTCAAAGCCTGTCTCTTCGTTGGACCGTAATTAATAATAGAATGCAAGAAATTCTCCAAGAAGGTCACCGGCGAAAGTTAATCGAAGTTGTTCGGAGCTTACTGGGGAATCATCAGGCCGATGACTCTGTGGAGCTTGTTGAGATCCTGGTGAAAAATGACGGCAAAATTGGCTGCAGAATGTCCCTCATATGTTCATATCCCCGATCCCACATCTTAATAAATTCAAGGAGAATATGGGGGCGTAATCAGAGGCGCAAGGTTAACTCTTCCACCAGAATCACCTGGACTTTGAACAATGCGACAGTATAAGAAAAACCTGATGGGAGACTATATTCATATCTATCTATCTATCTATCTATCTATCTATCTATTACAGCCTGTTCATATCTATTACAGTTTGTTCACATCTATCTATCTATCTATCTAGGTCACATCACACTGTCTTTCTATCTCTTTTAATATGTCTCTCTGGAAAAGATAGATAGAAAGACAGATTGATAGCTACGTATGAACAGACTGTAATTTATCTATGTATTTCAGTCTGTTTCTTATTTATCTATCTGTTTATTTCAGTCTGCTCCGATCTGTCTATTTAGTTCAATCTGTCCATATCTATCTATCTATCTATCTATCTATCTGTTTCTTTCTTTTCCTTTTTTAGTTCGAATCTATCTATCTATCTATCTATCTATCTATCTATCTATCTATCTATCTCTCTCTCTGTCTCTCTCTCTCTATCTCTCTCTCTCTATATATATATATATATATATCCTAGTTTCATCATTATCTATCTATCTATCTATCTATCTATCTATCTATCTATTTCAGTCTCCAAATTATCTATCTATCTATCTATCTATCTATCTATCTATCTATCTATCTATCTATGTATTTCAGTCTCCACATATCTATCTATCTATCTATCTATTTTCCATCATATCTATCTATCTATCTATCTATCTATCTATCTATATATCTATCTATCTATCTATCTATCTATCTATTTCAGTCTCCAAATTATCTATCTATCTATCTATATATCTATCTATCTATCTATCTATCTATGTATTTCAGTCTCCACATATCTATCTATCTATCTACTTCATTTTCCACATATCTATCTATCTATCTATCTATCTTATTCATTCTATTTATGATAGATAGAAAGATAGATAGATAGATAGGTATGAACAGACTGTAATCTCTGTTTCTTTCCGTATTTATTTCAATCCCCACAAATCTATCTATCTATCTATCTATCTATCTATCTATCTATCTATCTATCTATCTATTTATCTATGTTTATTTTCAATTGCCCTATTTCTTAACAATTGTGTCGTTCGTTTATTGTTTTAATCAGCCACGCGAGAAGTCATTCACCATAAAGGAGAACTGGTCCACATCATCTGAAAAGACGTTCTACGACACACGAAGTCGACTATTTGGGGTATAAAAATTTTCCCAACAACAAAAAAAAAGCAACTAATAATAATGGAATAAAAATTGATGCCTGCGTACAAAAAGACCGAATCCTATTAAAAAAAAATTAAAAAAATAAAAATTAAGCTGAGCACATCTTTTTCAGGTGAATCTTGCAAGCAGAGAAAAAGTGACTAAAGTAATTCCATATTTCCTTCTTCAGTTCTCTTTCATAATTTAATTTATTTACCGTTATTTAATTTTTCCTTTATTCGGTTTGGGGTTGTTCATTTTTTAATGGCCTGTTTATTTTATCCTTATTTACAAATAAGCGCCGGTGAACGGTGAGGTCTGCATATAAGCAAACAAACTTTAAGAAAGCTATTAACTTCACAGTATTATTTTGGGTCTATTCACTTCGTCTTGCTTCTATATTAAATCAGAAGGAAGACTCCATTTTAGAACATCTATCTATCTATCTATCTATCTATCTATCTATCTATCTATCTATCTATCTATCTATCTATCTAACACAGACTGTTCATATCATATCTATCTATCTATCTATCTATCTATCTATCTATCTATCTAATACGGAGTGTTCATATCTATCTATCTATCTATCTATCTATCTATCTATCTATCTATCTATCTATCTATCTATCTATCTATCTATCTATCTATCTATCTATCTATCTATATATATATCTATCTATCTAACACAGACTGTTCATATCTATCTATCTAGCTATCTATCTGACACAGACTGTTCATATCTATCTATCTAACACAGAATGTTCATATCTATCTATCTATCTATCTATCTATCTATCTATCTATCTATCTATCTATCTATCTATCTCAGTCTGTTCAGATCTATCTGTTTAAATCTGTTCATATCTATCTATCTCTTTTAGTCGGTTCATATCTATCTATCTATCTATTTTACTCTGTTCATATCTATCTATCTACTTTAGTCTGTTCATATCTATCTATCTATCTATCTATTTTAGTCTGTTCATATCTATGTATCTATCTATCTATCTATCTATTTTTGTCTGTTCATATCTATCTATTTATCTTTTTCTTTCTATCTATGTTTTTATCTATTTTAGTGTGTTCATATCTATCTATCTATCTTAGTCTGTTCATATCTACATACCAACCTATCTATCTATCTATCTATCTATCTATCTATCTATCTATCTATCTTAGTATGTTCATATCTATCTATCTATCTATCTATCTATCTATCTATCTATCTATTTTAGTCTGTTCATATCTATCTATCTATCTATATATCTATTTTAACAGTTTTACGAAAAGGAACCACAATTATTAAGAAGCATTTCACGAACAATTGGGTAATTGATATCAAAGCGTTCATATTAGAAACTTCCCGCTGCGATCCGTTTCCGCTCAAAAAATCCTCTATTTTTTCTCCAGTAACTCAAATGATTGATTTTATTTTTTTTAAATACAAGTTTCGCTTCTTCCAGACTTTTTTTCTTTCAGATCATTGAAACAGGTTATACGAATTGAAAATTTTGAATTTTCAAATGTCGAACCGCAAAACACTCATGAAAAACTCCCACATTGAAATCCATGAGCGTTCGATGCAAACTGATGGCGTAAAACGGTCGCCAAATTCCAAATCTAATATAGTTTCGGAGACCTGGATGTTTCACACTTGTTGAAACAAAGCAGCGGACGCTTAGAGAGAGAGGGAGAGGGAGGAGAGAGAGAGAGAGTGTGGGAGAGAGAGAGAGAGAGGGGGGATGTTGAATATTTCTGCCACGTCTGGTTTAGTACTTCTCCTTTGTATGTATAGATCCCTGACGAAATTCAATAAAGAATCTGCAACATTATCGGCCCTGACCTGTCATCTCGCCTTTCTTAATTGCTCTTTTGTAGTTCGACTTCAAGAATTTAAGCGTAGAGCTAGACTTGCAAGTAGGTATCATAATTTTACTCGATGTAACCGTAAGTTCTATACTGAGTGCTTCCATGCTATATATATATATATATATATATATATATATATATATATATATATATATATATATAATAATAAAAGGCTTAAACACTAGTATTCCATGGTCATAATTTATTTCCATTGGAATCGTAAATACGATCAATTCATCAGACTTACAAATTTCTAGCTCTGATGAATTGGATCGTATTATTCAATGGAATAAATTACACCATGGGATATTAGAGTTTAAGCCTTTTTATTATATCCTTACTCTGTCCTGGACATTGAGTTCTACCTGGATGCTATCCTCTTGAGAATTTATATATATATATATATATATATATATATATATATATAGACCACTAATATATATATATATATATATATATATATATATATATATATATATATATATATATGTATATATATATATATATATATATATATATATATATATATATATATATATATATAATAAAAACTTAAACACTAATATTAGTGTTTAAGCCTTTTTATTATATCCTTACTCTGTCCTGGACATTGAGTTCTACCTGGATTCTATCCTCTTGGAATTTTTTATTAAAAAATATATATGTATGTGTATGCACCTATGCATATATATTTATATATTTTGCATATATATGTGTATATTTACGACTAATATCTATCTATCTATCTATCTATCTATCTATCTATCTATGTCACATCACACTGTCTTTCTGTATATCTGTTAATATCTCTCTCTGGGAATGATAGATAGAAAGATAGATAGATAGGTATGAACAGACTGTAATCTCTATTTCTTTTCGTATTTATTTCAATCTCCACAAATCCACAAATCTATCTATCTATCTATCTATCTATCTATCTATCTATCTATCTATCTATCTTATTCATTCTATTTATCTATGTTTATTTTCAATTGCACTATTTCTTAACAATTGTGTCGTTCGTTTATTGTTTTAATCAGCCACGCGAGAAGTCATTCATCATAAAGGAGAACTGGTCCATATCATCTGAAAAGACGTTCTACGACAGACGAAGTCGACTACTTAGAGTATAAAGATTTCCCCAACAACAAAAAAAAGCAACTAATAATAATGGAATAAAAATTGATGCCTGCGTACAAAAAGACCGAATACTATTTTAAATAATAATAATAATAATAAGTTGGAGAATCTTGCAAGCAGAGAAAAAAAAATTTGCCCTGGATAAAGTAATACCATATTTCCTTCTTCAGTTCTCTTTCATAATTTAATTTATTTACCGTTATTTAATTTTTCGTTTATCGGTTTGTGGTTG